TTCTGTTTCACATTTTAGAGCATTTCTATCATTGAAAATTTATGTAGTGCCTGAATTCCACGTTAGCATCAAAACTGGGCCTTTTCTTCACCAGTTTCCCCAGCACCTATGATAAAAAATCATCACAGAGTGAAAGGATGAAAAGTATTTGTTTATATCAATAATTTATACCCTCTTACTTCATGAATGGCATTGATAGCAAATTCGTTTTCCCCTCCCTTTCTTGCTATACTAAACTTCCAAAGTCTCATTTCTCCAGTCTCTGGGGTAAGGGTCAAGCTGGGAAGGACATGGAGTTGGAGATGTGATATCTGTTTCCCAGTTAGTGAATAAGATAGTTGAGAATTCTTGTAACTCCTCTGCATGGCACTTCTGACTTTACACATTATCAGATATGGAATACCTGAATCTCTCCAGTGATTTCTAATGCAAATCATATTTTAGCCCTTTGTTTGTGGCTGGCACATCAAGGGTTACTTTTTTGAAATTATAAAAAAATGATAAGCAAATACATTTTGAATGTATTTTAGGTTAGATCATTCCCTGGAGAATTCACTTTTATTGCTGGTTTCATTAACGTCTGGCAAATTTGACTTTATATTAAGCTATGTAAAAGTAGTTATAAAGGAATTGACTGTTGAGGCCATTTTAATATTTTCCTTATGAGAGGCAATTATTGAATACATTTAACAAATCAACATCTTTAATCTACATGTTTATTGTTACCTTTGGAGTACTTTAAAAATGAGAACAGAAAATATCTGTTGAGTCTTATTATATAGTGTCCTTTTTGGCCTCTTGGAAGGGAGAGAAGAGAAAAGTGGAGTGGGATGATGTTGGAAAGACAGGAATAAGAAAGAAAGTGGGGAGGAAAAAAAGATCTTTTTGTATTTTATTAGCTTGTAAATATCGTTTTATTTATCTGTGACAGCAGAATGCATTATAATACATATTGCACATATAGAGCACAAATTTTTCATATCTCTGGTTATAAAAAAGTATATTCACACCAATTCATGTCCTCATACATGTACTTTGGATAATGATGTCAATCACATTCCACCATCATTTCTAACTGCATGCCCCCTCCCTTCCCCTCCCACCCCTCTGCCCTATCTAGAGTTCTTCTACTCCTCCCACGCTCCCCCTCCCTACCCCCCTATGAATCAGCCTCTTCATATCAGAGCAAACATTTGACATCTCGGTTTTTTGGATTGGCTAACTTCACTTAGCTTATCTTCTCTAACTCCATCCATTTACCTGTAAAGGCCACTTCAAACTGGTGCAGCCAATATGGAAAGCAGTATGGAGATTCCTTGGAAAATTGGGAATGGAACCACCATTTGAAACAGCTATTCCTCTCATCAGTCTATACTCAAAGGACTTAAAAACAGCATACTCCAGGGACACATCCACATCAATGTTTATAGCAGCACAATTCACAATACCTAAACTGTGGAACCAACCTAGATGCCCAGCTTGTAAATATCTTATCTGATACTCTAGTCTACTTTCAAAATATTATAAAACTTTACCTGTAGATCGATGCAGAGACATGTGGGGAGATAATTCTTTCTTTGTAGCTCCCAGTCTTCAGTCTACACATAGAGAGGTTAAGGGGGTCATTTCCAGGACTATGGATCAGTTATGAAATGTGACTTTAGGGGAGCCATCAATGAGCAGATTTACCAAAATACTTCCATTATGAAGCTACCATAGTGGCAGGAAATTTATTCCTCATAGGCTCAAGGGATTATGGGTTTAGAGTACATTAAACATTCAAATATTTTGTGTGAGGTCTCTTACACAAACACCATGTAATGTTTTTACACTTATCAACCAAATACTCATCTTTAAGGGGGAAAAACACAGGGAGAGACATTTTTATAAGTGAACAATATTTTCTTTGCCAATAATAAGCTATTGGAAGGACACTGGTGACACTCAGAATCAGTGAAGAGGCAACCAATCAGGTACTAAGAACAGAAATTAGGCAGGCCTGGGAACTTAAGATGATTACTTCCCCAAATCTCAGTATTCTACTTTGGAGAATTGGAGACAAATTTAATGGTAAGTTTATAAAGTTGTAATGAGGAATAAATAAATCAGTTCTTATGTTTCGTACAATGACTGGCACATAGCAAGAGTACTTCATAATTCAGTGAAGATCATCTCTTATCCTGAATGCCCAAAGCCCTTTGGGTTTGCCAAAAGAAAGTCTGTGGTCAAGACAGACAGTGATGACGTGGACCAGAGACACGGTAGTGGAGGTGATAGAAGTAATCAAACTCTGGATTGGAATAGAAGACAGAATTCCAACTTTATTTTCTTAGATTAAATGTGATGTACAAGAAAGACAGAGGAAGAATAATGTCAAGGTGTCAGAGCAAAGCAAATGGAATGTTGGAAGTTGCCATTTGCTGAGATGAGGATTGGAGTAGTCTGGTTTTGGATATCCTATGCTTAATTATTAAATTCAATGATAAATCTGTTAGACCGGTAAGGACAGATGTCAAGAGCTCAACTGTATATATGTTTGTGTATGTTCCAGGGTGAGGTGGGTGGTGGTCCAGGATTGAGAGGTAAATATAAAACTGTAAGCAGAGGTTAAAATGAAATCCTAACTACTTTCAAGCAAGGAGACATTAATGAACTTCCTCTGACACATTCTGTTCTTTTGTCTCTAGCTAAAGCCTCTACTGATTTGGTTTCTTTGCCTAATAAGATAGTTCAAACCTTTATTCTAGAAGTTTCTGTGCCTTTGATAGAATTTGTGCCCTTGGTAGTACATTTTCTGCAGTCACTGTTAACATTTCCTGTTGGATGTGGTAGATCAAAGAGGTACCCAGAGGACCCTCCTGGTTGGGTAGCCCTTGTGCAGCTCTTGATGACGAAGCTGGAAAAATGAGGCCACAGGAAAGTACTTTGAGGGAAGAAGCACCAGGGCTGGGAAAGATGAAGAAGATGAGAAGAGAATGTTGTGAAGACAGTTCTATTCGCTCCAATGATCCTTACTCAGTCTTTGTCCAGCGGCCTGAGGCAATCACAAACTACACCCAGCATTGACTCCTTCCCTACCCCTTTTGCTCACAGGAGTTCTCACCAAGGGAATCAGGGAATCACAGGCTTCACCCTCCTCCACTTGAGCACACAAGGTCAACGCAGGCTGCACGGACTTTTCTGCTATTAATTTTCATTAACCAAAAAGTGATTAAGTGGAACCAGCCCGTTTTTTTTTTTCCTGTTCAGTGTTTATTAGCACCACCTGACTAATTATAAAAAAGCAAGGGAGCATCAATTAGCTCCAGACACATACATGACAATTACACTGGGGAGACACGACAGGGTTGAACAGCGCATCTCCTTGGAGCGCACAATAATCTGGCAGAGAACAGACCTCTGTGTAATAGTAACAAATGCATCTCATCGACTTCATGGGAAATAAGGTCCTCATGTCAACACATCTGAGTACAATTTCCTGGGCATTTAAGCAACTTTATAGCTCTGGAGAGGCATGGAGCTGGCCAGGGGCTGCATCCTGACTGGATGTAACCTACCCCCTTGCTTTATATCCCTACTCTGTTCCTTTCCTTGCCACACAATGCTCTTCTCTTTAGCTCTTGGTCACACCCACCTGCTGTGGTTAGAAGTGAAGAGCTTTTCTGCCCACATCTCACCACCCAGTTCTCTGTGGAACTGAATCTGTGTACATTTCATTGTCAGAATGGAAGGGACAGTTAGTACTCACCCTGTGTTCTTTGCTTCTTTATTTTTTTTTTAAACTGAGAACCATGTTATCATCCTTTGATGCCTGGCCTAAATGTCACTGACTTACTGCGCCCCACCTCCTGCCATTAGCTGCTTTCCATTGTGTATTCCCACTTCCTCCCTCTAGAATGGCACCTACAAGATTTGTGTGGTAGCTTTACTGCTCACACATGTGTCTTTTCAATTAGCAGGCAAGCTGATTCTGATTTGCTTAGGGACTATGTGGTCTTGAACTTGAACCTAAGCACCCGGTTGATGAGCTATTCAGTGAATGTTTGCAATATTTATGAACTAATTTTCAGCTAAAATAATTAGGTTAAAAAATAAGTCTGGGAAATAAAACATGTTTTACTCAATAGTTGGTACAATGGTTGGTAGGGGAGGAGGAGTATTGGACAGCTTCTGTGATGGATGATAGAGCACTGGTTCTCTGAGGCCAGAAGACCATCAGAATCACCTGATGGGGCTGCAAATTCCTTAGTCCTACTTAAGACTACAAAACAAGATCCTCTGGAGTGGTGCCTATCACTCTGACTGTTCAAAAGAGATACCTCAGTCTTCTAGATACACAAGTTTGAAAGCCACTAGAATAGGGACAGGGAGGCAGTGGGTGAAAAGATTTTATTCCATAAGTGAAACTAAGAGGTACATAGGATAAAATATAAATCATTAGAGAAGAGAAAATATTGAAAGAGGTGAAACTATTCCACTCTCTGATAGAAGAGGGACATTCTTATCCTGCTATCAGCCCCGATATCTGTACATATCCTCAGGCCCATGTGCTCTACTACATTAATACAGGAAAATGAAGTTATACTCCTGGGCTTCTGACAGAATAGGCCAAAATAGCTTACTGGAAAAAAAACAACATTTCTCTGCTGCCCAATCTTATCTTCAGTGTTCTTGATGATTATTAATTATGTGTAAAATGTTTTAAATTAAAAACAATGTCTGAAACCACTTACTATCCAATAAAACGTAAACTCAGGAGTTTGTACTTATGGGTCCCTTTATACTGCAAGGCTACTCTTTTCTCATTTGAAAATTACCTAGTTTGTTGGCGCGAGTGCCGGCTGTGTGCGCGCCGGCGAGGGCAGGGGCCAGCCTGGAGCCCCGTGTGTCCGCCCACCGCGGCCTGGACTCATGTGGCGCTGCGCGAGAGGGCGGCGTGGAGCCCAGCGCCTTGGCCTGAGCCCTCCGCAGCAGGCTGCCTGCTGCTTCCCGGGGAGATCATGAAATGAGGTCGCCTTCCCAGCAGCAGTGAGGATTCTGACGACAATGGCAGCCTGTCAACTACATGGTCCCAGAACTCTCGATCCCAGAGCACAGGAGAAGTTCCTGCTCCAGACATGAAGACCGGAAGCCTTCAGAGGTGTTTAGGACAGACCTGATCACCGCCATGAAGTTGCATGACTCCTACCAGCTGAACCCGGACGAGTACTATGTGTTGGCAGATCCCTGGAGACAGGAATGGGAGAAAGGGGTCCAGGTGCCTGTGAGCCCGGGGACCATCCCGCAGCCTGTGGCCAGGGTTGTGTCCGAAGAGAAATCCTTCATGTTCATCAGGCCCAAGAAGTACATAGTGACCTCGGGCTCTGAGCCTCCAGACTTGGGCTACGTGGACATCCAGATGCTGGCCGACAGCGTGTGTCGATATGACCTGAACGACATGGATGCCATGTGGCTGGAGCTGACCAACGAGGAGTTCAAGGAGATGGGAATGCCTGAACTGGACGAGTTCACCATGGAAAGGGTCCTGGAGGAATTTGAGCAGCGATGCTATGACAGTATGAATCATGCCATCGAGACTGAGGAAGGCCTGGGGATTGAGTACGATGAAGACGTGGTCTGTGACGTCTGCCAGTCCCCCGATGGTGAGGACGGCAACGAGATGGTGTTCTGCGACAAGTGCAACATCTGTGTGCACCAGGCCTGCTATGGAATCCTCAAGGTGCCAGAGGGCAGTTGGCTATGCCAGACCTGTGCCCTGGGAGTCCAGCCAAAATGTTTGCTGTGTCCCAAGAAGGGCGGTGCTATGAAGCCCACCCTCAGCAGAACCAAGTGGGTCCATGTCAGCTGTGCCCTGTGGATCCCTGAGGTGAGCATTGGCAGCCCAGAGAAGATGGAGCCCATCACAAAGGTGTCTCACATCCCCAGCAGCCGGTGGGCGCTCGTGTGCAGCCTCTGCAACGAGAAGTTCGGGGCCTCCATACAGTGCTCCGTGAAGAACTGCCGCACGGCCTTCCATGTGACCTGTGCTTTTGACCGGGGCTTGGAAATGAAGACTATCTTGGCAGAGAATGATGAAGTCAAGTTCAAGTCCTACTGCCCAAAGCACAGCTCCCACCGGAAGTCTGAGGAGAGCCTTGGCGAGGGCGCCGCGCAGGAGAACCGGGCCCCCGAGTGCTCCCCCCTGAATCCGCTGGAGCCCTTTGCCAGTCTGGAGCAGAACCGGGAGGAAGCCCACCGGGTGAGCGTCCGCAAGCAGAAGCTGCAGCAGCTGGAGGATGGGTTCTACACCTTCGTCAACCTGCTGGACGTGGCCCGAGCCCTGAGGCTGCCTGAGGAAGTGGTGGACTTCCTGTACCAATACTGGAAGCTCAAGAGGAAGGTCAACTTCAACAAGCCTCTGATCACCCCAAAGAAAGACGAAGAGGACAATCTAGCCAAGCGGGAGCAGGATGTCTTGTTTAGGAGGCTGCAGCTGTTCACGCACCTGCGGCAGGACCTGGAGAGGGTTCAGAACTTCACTTACATGGTGACCCGCAGGGAAAAGATCAAGCGATCTGTGTGCAGAGTCCAGGAACAGATGTTCAGTCTGTACACTAAGCTCTTGGAGCAAGAAAGAGTTTCAGGTGTGCCTTCTTCTTCCTGCTCCTCCTCCTCACTGGAACACATGCTTCTGTTTAATAGTCCTTCTGTGGGTCCCGACGCTCCCAAGATAGAGGACTTGAAATGGCATTCTGCGTTCTTCAGGAAACAAATGGGTACTTCCTTGGTTCATTCCCTGAAAAAGCCCCATAACCGAGACCTGTTGCAGAACAGCAGTGGGGGCGAGGGCAAGGCCCTGCCCCGGCAGCCAGAGCTGTGCGGCGTGAGGGAGGGGCTGGGGGTCCCAGAGAGCTTTCTGAGTTTTGAAACACCTTTGCAGAAGCACGTCTTATATCAGCACAACAGAAAAATGGTGTGGTGACAGCAGACCACGGGAAAAGAGACAATTTTTTTCATTGTGATCTCATTAAAGGAGACTTGAAGGACAGACCTTTTAAACAGAGTCACAAGCCTCTCAGGTCCACAGATGTGTCCCAGAGGCATCTGGACAACACGAGAGCCGCCCCCTCCCCGGGAGTGGGGCAGTCAGCGCCTGGAGCCAGGAGGGACATGGTGCCCAGGTGCAATGGCTCCCTAGTCAGAGTGACCTGTAGTCAGACCACAGTCCAAGTGCCTACAACACCTGCCAGCCCAGGGAAAGACTGGGGGGGGGGGGGTCCAGATTCCAAAGAAGGGGGAGCCGCAGCAGCAGGGAGAGGCCCCCGAGGGCACCTGCCACCAGCACTCAGACTACCCCTACCTGGGCCTAGGCCGAGCTCCAGCCAAGGAACGCACAAAAAAGCAAATTAAAACCTGACAGTGAGAATGACGGGTATGTCCCCGATGCAGAAATGAGTGACTCGGAGAGTGAGGCCTCGGAGAAGAAGTGTGTCCATGCCAGCAGCACCATCAGCAGGAGGACAGACATCATCAGGAGGAGCATCCTGGCCTCCTGACCCCTGGCCTGTCGCCATGTGCCGGGGAGGTCTGGTGGCGGGGACAAGCAGAAGCCCTTTATTCCTTAGCTACACAAACACATTTTTACAATTCAGACTGAATTTTTTTCCAGAGTCATTTATAAATCATCGTTGTGAGAAGATTGTGTTATTTGCAGCTTGTTGAGGAGACAGAAGAGTAGATTGTAACCATAGGACATGGTAGATTAGCACCTGAATTACACCCTACACAGGATGAGTGGAGTCAGTGTGGACGAGGGCAAGGCTTACCCACGCCTCGTGGATGTCTGTTGCTCTCTGCATTCTTCCCAAAGCACAAACTCCTGGTTCCCCGAGTATACAGAATCAGATAGAACTCTAATGAATTAATACATTTATAGAAACCAATTGTAGCCCACAGAGCTCTTTTCTAGGACTGTGGTCAGCCTTGAAATGGTGTGGCCCACGAGGCAGTTCTGCTACATAGACAGAGGCAGCAGCTCTGACCCTGAGCGACACTAGGAGACTCCTGTAACCCAGCAGCCAGGGAAGAGAGAATTTATAAAAGGTCATTACTGGAGTCACTGTAGGATGGGGAGAGCTGCTGCGCCTGGAGAGGCCTCGCTCCTGAAGCCTGTGAGTGGATGTGGGATGCAGGACTGGCAGAGAGTGAAGCCACCTAGAAAGTTCTCTGTCTGAGAAAGGGCAGCTGGAGTCCCACTTTCACCAGTCCTTCTGACCTTCCTCTTCCTTAACCACTGGCTCTTGGGCCAGCTTAGGTTTCCCCTGGCCATTGCCAGGACCTGGCCACCTGGCTATTCAATTCAAGTGACGAACTTCAGACTCTGGTGACTGGTACTTCCCAGAGCCCACCACTAGTGCATATGTTGGGGATCTGGGCTTCCAGCATGAACGGATTCCTTAATAAAAAGGGAAAAAAAGAAAAAAAAAGAATAAAGTGAAATAGGTTATATTTTAAAAACAATAGAAAGGCAATAACTTGTGATAAGCTCTTACCATTGACCGAGGCTGAACAGGAAGGAGACTGAGGTGTGCCCTGCGCAGGTTTCCTGGAGTCAGAGCTCTGCACTCTCATTTGTAACTTGGACTTTCTAATTGCAAATGGCAATAACTAGTAAGTTATCAGCAATAATTTAGCATTCAATTTGAGTACAATATTCTGTTTTTGTACTCGCTGGAGTGTGTGTATTAAGACGGTGGATAGTGTTAAGGTACTGTTAATTTTCTTTGGAATCCAATGTAGTTGTGAATCAAACTTATGAGAAGGAAAGTTTAAATAGTAATGAGATTTAGAATTATGGGCATTTGGATAATTCCCTAAATTACCCCTTAGTTTGTTAATACCAGTATTGAGATTCCTGATTCATTTACACATCTGTTTCCATGTGGCAGGGACATTCTGATGCTTAATGAATAATGCTTTGAGTTCTGTAGTTAACTTTCAAGTCTTCCAGATGATTGTCAACAACAAAAAGGCTTATTGAATTCCATCTTGCTATGCAAGTTTTTTCAGATGATCGAATAGTAGATCCAATGTACCCCATTGTGTGTATGATGTTTCCAAACAAGTCTTGACTTCTCAAGTACATTGTAGTAGCTAATTCAGGGGAGGGGAAAGAACGACCCAGGTTTTTAGATTGACTATTTTTGAGCTATGGGGCTCAGTTTGAAAGACTGCTGTCTAGATCAGCTTTTTGCTACGGATATTAGAAGGTTCTTAGGAATCCAAGTTGTACATTTGCTCATAGCATAATTTAAAAATTAAAAAGTTTTTTTTCTTTTTTAATATGAGCAAAAACCTTTTGCTGGACACAGGAGAAGGTTGGATACTATATAGTTATGATATTTTGATTGCAGCAGCAGCTCTGGGTGAGAGTAGGATTTATAGAGGGATAATTTGTTAAGCCATAGAAAGAAAATCTAAATTAATCTAGTAAGTATATGACCTCTCACCATTTTAAGAGGTATCAGATTCATTTGCACTATTAGGAATGCTAGTTTTGTGCAAAAATAATGCCTTACCTGTTTTTCCCCACATTTAGGTTGAAAAGCTTTCAAATGTTCCAAGTTATGTTAAACCAAAAAAAAAAAAAAAACCAAAAACAAAACAAAAAAATAAATAAAAAACCCCACACAAAAACAAAACACAAAAATAATAAAAAAGCCCACTTTTTATTCCTGCTTCGAAATGCAAATGGTATAGAGCACGGTTTCTCTGACAGTATAATGATAGCTTTGTAGGTTAGTCTTGTGTCATGCTAGGAGCTCTGTATGAGTGGCCATAGCAGCAGCCAGCCCAGCCCACCCACTCACATTCTATTAGTATGGAACCATTTGCTTTTTCTTTCCTTTTTCTCCTTTATCTTTCCTTGTGCATCCTGACCAAGAAATATCTTTGATTATGACCAATGTATTATGTCAAAATGTAGGCTAGTTTAACTTTTGTAAAGTTGCCTGGAATGTCATTTGTTAGGTTATAAACACAAAATCTAAATGAAGGGTTTTATGTGTTGTGTACAAATCTTAATTATTTTGAAATGGACAAACTTGTCATTACATTTGTAACCTTGTACAGAGGATTTTTCACTATGTGCCTAGCTTGGTGTCCATTCAGCTAAAATCGAAAAAAAAAAAAAAAGGTGCATGAAGAGTTAAAAATCAGAAATTAAACAAAGTATATGTAGAGATGACTATTTTATATTACATGGCCCTATCTTGTATTTATTTCTACCCCCCCTTTTTGAAAGTATTTATAAAACTAGTTGAGGACAACTGTATTTTTTTGTTGAACTATTTAGTAGAATTTGTGCCTTTTTGTCTGTATGTGAATAAATGCTGTACATTTTGCAATACAAAAAAAAAAAAAGAAAATTACCTAGTTTGTTATTCCATGATAGGACAAAACAGACTAAGGTAATCTCTAAATGGACATATCAGCTTTTGAAAAAAACATCTTTTACTTGTTCTACTTAGTTGTACATGATAACAGAATACATTTCAATTCATCATACACAAATAGAGTGCAAAATTTCTATTCTCTGGTTGTACGTGGTGTAGAGATGCACCATTCATGAAACCACACATGTCCCTGGGGTGATGATGTACATTTAATTCCACCATCTTTTCTATCCTCATAACCCCTACCCACCCTCCTTTTTGTCCAATTCAAAGTTTCTCCATTCTTCCCATGTCCCCCCAGCCCCCCATAATAGATCAGCATCCACTAATCAGATAAAATATCTGGCTTTTAGTTTTTTGGGATTGGCTTGCTTCACTTGGCACAAATTCTCTAACTCCATCCATTTACCTGTAAATGCCATAATTTTATTCTCTTTTAATGCTAAGTAGTATTCTATTGTGTTTGTGTTTGTGTGTGTGTGTATGTATGTGTGTATATATATATATATCACAATTTCTTTATCCATTCATCTATTAATGGGCATCTAGGGTAGTTCCACAGTTTAGCTATTTGTGAATTCAGCTGCTATAAACATTGGTATGGCTATGTCACTAGAGTATGCTGAATTTAAATCCTTTGGGATAGACTGAGGAGTGGGATAGCTGGGTCAAATGGTGGTTCCATTTCAGGTTTTCTGAGGATTCTCCACACTGCTTTCCAAAGTGGTTGTACCAATTTGCAGTCCCACCAGCAATGTATGACTGTACCTTTTTCCCCCATATACTCTCCAACACTTATTATTGCTTGTATTATTGATAACTGCCATTCTGACTAGGTTGAGATAAAATCTTAATTTTGATTGTATTTCTCTATTTACTAAGCTTCTAGAAATATTAAATGAATTAAGCAAAGTAGCAGGATATAAAATCAGTACCCACAAATCAATTGCATTTCTATACATAAGTGATGAATCCACTGAAAGAGAAATTAGGAAAACTACCCCATTCAAAATAGCCTCAAAAAATACAAAATACTTGGGAATCAGACCTCTACAATGAAAACTACAGAACATTAAAGAAGTAAGTTGATTATTTAAAGATGGAAGAAAGAAAGATCTCCTCTCCCATATTCTTGGATAAGCAGAAATAGTATTGTCAAAATGACCATACTACCAAAACTGTTATACAGATTTAATGCAATTCTTATTAAAATCCTAATGTCATTCTTCATAGAACTTGAAAAAGCAATCATGACATTCATTTGGAAAAATAAGAGACCCAGAATAGCCAAAGCAATCCTTAGCAAGGAAAGCAAAGCAGGAGGCATCACAATACCAAAGCTTAAACTATACTGCAGAGCAACTGTAACAAAACAGCATGGTATTGGCACCAAAATAGACACGTAGACCAAAGGTACAGAAGACACAGAGACCAACCCACATAAATACAGTTATCTCATACTAGACAAAGGAACCAAAGACATACATTGGAGAAATGACAGCCTCTTCAACACATGGTGCTAGGAAAACTGGAAATCCATATGTAGCAAAGTGAAATTAAACCTCGATCTCTTACCATGCACAAAACTCAACTCAGAGTGGATCAAGGAACTGGGAATTAGACCAGAGACCCTGCACCTAATAGAAGAAGTAGGTCCAAATCTTTATCATGTCAGAGTAGGGCCTGACTTCCTTAACAAGAGTCCTAAAATGCAAGAAATAAAATCAAGAATCAATAAATGGGATGGATTCAAACTAAACAGATTCTTCTTAGCAAAAGAGACAGTCATTGAGGTGAAGAGAGAGCCTATGGTAAGGGAGCAATTTCTTACCACACATACATCAGATAGAACACTAATCTCCAGGATATATAAAGAACTCAAAAAACTTAATACCAAAGAAACAAACAACCCAATCAATAAATTGGTTAAGGAACTGAACAGACACTTCTAAGAAGATATACAAGTGATCAACAAATATATGAAAAAGTGTTCAATGTCTTCAGTAATTAGAGAAATACAAATCAGATTTTTATAATTATTGATCACACACTCTTTTCCTTGGCCACTTAGTCATAGATGAGCATTATTGGTTATAAGCAAATGAGTGGCATAGCCTCCAAATAGGATGAAAAAATCCATTAAGTATAAATGACAATGCATATGATCTTTATTTACTACAAAACAAAAACAACCTCAAACAGCAAAGAAAGCAAGCCAATAGTTAGGGATAATTGGGCTTATTAAAATATGATATTCATTTAGCAGCAATTTTTCTCACTAGTCAAGAGGTAGAAGCAACCAAAACATTTACCTATAGAGAGTGGATAAATAAAATATGGTATATGAATTCAATGGAATATTATTCAGCCTTAACAAAAGGAGGAAATCTTGTCACATGTTATATCCTGGATGAAACTTGAGAGTATTATGCTAAATAAGCAGTCACAAAAATTCAAATACTTAAATACCACTTACTAAGTAACTAATGTAGTCAAATTCAGAGATACAGAAGGTAGAATGTTCATTGCTTAGGTCCGAGGGATGAGGAAAAAGAAAGTTATTGTTTAATAGGTGTCGATTTGCAGATTTGTAAGATGAGAATCTGGAGATCATTTTCATAACCACGTAAACACATGTAACACTTGAATTGTACATTTAAAATTTACTGAAATGGTAAATTATTTTAACATAACAAAAAATTTATTAAAACGTATGTACACACTTCACTATAAAATTTTACAATGCTGTTAGACTAGACATTATTTAAAGCTTTTTCCTTTTCAGTACCAGGGATTGAACTCAGGGGTGCTTAACCACTGAGCCATACCCCCAGCCCTTTTTATTTTTTTTAATTTTGAGTCAAGGGCTTACTAAGTTGCTCGGGGCCTCTCACAAAGTTGCTGAGGCTGGTTTTGAATTTGCATTCCTCCTTCCTCAGTGTGCCCAGCTGCTGGGATTTGCAGGTGTGTGACATCACACCCAGCTATTTAAACCATTTTTAAATGGGGATATTAGTTTTAAAGAAAGTGATTTGTCTAACATGATGCAGGTATGTTCAGAGCAGCATGAAGATTTAAATGTAGATTTCTGATTCCCAAGCCAGTGCCCATATTCATCTTGTTCCCCAGGAATCAAGGAGCATATTACTGCAGGCTGTTGGGGTTATTCAGAGGTTTCTACACTATGAGGACCTGGTCTTTCCTTGAATTCCTTTGTAGTTATCTAGTTTTCTTATCCTTTGAAGACATCTTTGTTCATCTCATCGGTGAGCGATTTTTTAGGCTTCTGAGTTTTAGACTTGATGATACCTTGAAGCATCTAGTCCAGAGTTTTTCGTCTCTCTCTCTCTCTCTCGTGTGATCTGAGTGACAAGATAATTGAAGGCCTCACCTAAAGTC